ATACATAAGTACATACTAGGATACATACATAAATACATACTAGGATACATACATAAATACACATAGGATACATACATAAATACACTAGGATACATACATAAATACACATGGGATACATACATAAATACACATGGGATACATACATAAATACACAGTAGGATACAGACTCAAGTCAGGCACATCAGAGGAAAGAGGCAAATACTTGAGAATCCCTCCCCTTGTTAGTTTGCTTCTTCAAGTCTGATCCCCTTCCACAGTCTGACAGCTTTTGTTTACTTTCCAAAGTCCTTGGGTAATTGCTTCTGTGGTTTTTGTTTAGTTTTCAGTTGTAATCAATGGGAGATAGATGGTAACAGACTTACTCTATTTCAACCAGAAGAGGAGCCACCGGATATGATAGCAAACCAAGACTTCCTACACATTCATAAAGATTGTAACAAATAGCAGGAATACATTTTTCTTGTAAGTTTTCCTTCCTGCTTGCTGACAAAAATATGCTAGTTAGTTATGAAGTAACGTGATGAGAAAGCCAGAACCAGAAGAGGGATTATGGAATCCCTGGTCAGGCTGGGAAAGACTAGTAATTACTGTCATAGCTAATGTAAGAACTGAGCCCTTAGCCTAGCTTTCCAAGTCCTGTGTGCACTGGTGTGTCATCGTCTTGGGATGCTCTCTCTTTATTCTAGGCGACAATCTTCAGACTGCAATAACAGTGGCCAGGAAGTCTGGGATGGTTTCTGAAGGCCAGAAAGTCATTCTTGTCGAGGCAAATGAAGCCACTGGTTCTTCATCAGCATCTGTCTCTTGGAAATTAGTAGAAGAGAAGAAATACATCCCACTTGAGAATCAGGTACACCTCAATACAAGGCACTCTGCTGGATGATCGGACTTGCCACACAGTGGTGGCAATAGCTGTGACTAGCACAAGTTTTGAAACAACTCCTAGTCCATAAACTTCTCCAGGTGTATAGCTAGGTATGAACCTAGTCATGCCAGTTTTCCACTCTTCCTACTGTATTCTAAGGCACAGACTGTCTTGGCTTCTGAAATCAATAATTCTTTTACTCTTAAAAACCTTTGGCTTTAGCCAGGTGGCAGTGGCACATGCCTTTAATCCCAGCACTCAGGAGGCAGAGCCAGGCAGATCTCTGTGAGTTCAAGGCTAGCCTGATCTACAGAGCGAGATCCAGGACAAGCACCAAAAGCACACAGAGAAACCCTGTCTTGAAAAACAAACAAACCAACCCATGGCTTTTTACTAGAAAGAACACAGTAAGCAGAGCAGTGAGCTCAACTTCCCACACTTTCCCTTGCCTATCAGCCACTCCATTGGGTTCAAAGGGGACTTCGCCCCTTGGAGAGACCCGCTGTGTGCACTGGATAATCAGACTGTCTTCAGGGTAGGAAAAAATATTGTTCCTTTATCTCCAGTCTTGTTAGTATTCTATTTCCGTTGTGTCCTTATGGAGCAATATTAATTCTGTTAGAAAAAAAAAATCCCAACAAGTTCTCACTTCCAGGAGAGGGTTGTTAAGTTGCTGTGCTTTTGTCTTTGATACTTGAAGTGTGTGAAGTGCACTCATCTCTGGGACTCGCTGGGATCACACCACGATGAGAACAGGACGTGAGTGAGTGCTATCCTCTCATCAGCCGCCGGTGGCTGTGGCGTGTGAAGATCAGTTCAGCAAAGAAGCAGTCCTCCTCGGAGGGATCAGGGCTGGAGGGAGACTTTTGGAGAGAGACCCTGGTGTCGCTTCAGTCCTTTCTGTCAGATATGCTTGTGGTTCTAACCACTGGAGCAATCAGAAGAGCATCAAACGTTTGCACCTTGCTTTGCAGGACAATTACATCAACATCAGAGAAGAAGTCCCAGATCATGGCAGAGAAGGGAGTTACCATTTTGCCCTAAGTGGAAAATCCTTCCGTGTTCTAAGTCAGCATTTCAGCAGTTTACTGCCAAAGGTCAGTTTTAAGGAAGCAATGACATTTCTGTGAGGGTGATGAACATGTCACTTACATAGCACAATCCCAGATAGTTTGACATTTGAAATAAATAAAATACAACTAGAGTCATGTGGTGGTGGTGCACACCTTTGATCCCAGCACTGGGGAGGCAGAGGCAGGCAGATCTGAGTTCAAGGCCAGCCTGGTCTACAGAGTGAGTTCCAGGACAGCCAGGGCTACACAGAAAAACCCTGTCTCGAAAAACAAACCAAAATAAAATTATACATACGTAAGTAAGTAAATAAAATAAAGGGAAAAAAGTACTAGTTAGTTATACATCTCACAAGAGAGGGGGAAGTGTTTTTGCAAAGTTACTGGTATTTTCTATTAGATTTGAAAATAATAAGCATGAGGAGTCAGCTTTATACCAGCCCTAGACTAAAGCGGCAGCATGGAGGATTGGTTTGGGGCGGCTCTCACCACGTCGTCATGGTGAGGGCATTTAACAGTTCAGGAGGCACGCAGCGGTGGGGCGGAGAGCCAGGCAAGGATAGGAGAGTGCTATTATGCGTGTGCCAAATGACTCCCGTTCGGAAGGGGCCAGACTTAGAGCTCTTTTTACAAAGAATAAATTTATAAGAGGGGCAAGTAACTCATTTGCAAACAAATGGACTCTGACTGGACACTGAGCCGAGTTCACAGCCACAGAGAGCAAGGAGCACGTGGCTGTCATTCAGGAGAATTTGAAGTGCGGCAAGAGAAGGGAAGCAGGGCAGGCCATCTGACCTTCAAACCGTCCATGTTCCGGGGCTCACGAAGTTTGGGGTACCAGCTGAGCTTCGTCATTGGTCAAGTCCAGAGGCATGACTAGGGCGCAGATAGTCTCTGCGTCGCCCCCTGGTGGTTTTCTGCCAGTTGGGAAACAATTTTTGGGAAGCAGTGTGTGCCCTGCTCTGTTTCTCTGTTGTGATTGCTCGGATTCCATGGGTTCAATTTTCCATGAAGCTCGAGACTTTCCAGAATCATATTCCCCATGGCAGCTGGGTTAAATGGCATAGGACATTATTATTATTATTATTTATAAATACTTGTGTTTTTGTTTCCATTGAATTTATTTGATAACAAAAGTCTCAGTGTCCATCTTCAAACACAAAATAAATAATAAGTAAAAGTATTTTCTTGGGAACAAGCTTTTTTCCTATTCATGGACACTACCAGCTAATGTTCTATTTTCAATTGCTTTGTGTGTAACTTGCCATGATAAAAAAATTTTCTTTTTTTCCTCCCCTAGATACTGATGAATGGGACCATCTTTGCAAGAATGTCTCCAGGTCAAAAGTCAAGTCTTGTGGAAGAATTTCAGAAACTGGAGTAGGTTCTTTGCCTATGATGAAGTGATGGAGGCGTGGCAGTCATGGGGGATGGACCAGGCACAGGGAGCTGTGTAGTTGGCTTAGGACAGCCGTTCTTACCCTGGGCAGATCACAGTCACCGGGGGAAACTTAGAAAATGTAGTAGTATTGGTTCCACACTTTCCAGTGGTACTGGCTTAATGGTTCATATAGGGCTGGAACCCAGCCTTTTTTCAAAACTCCCCACATCAGTCATCTTTGCACTCGAAGTTGAGAACTGCTGTATGAGAATGTAGGGCCATGATAAGGTATGGTGGGAAAAGAGACAAGAAAGGTAAGCTGAGCCCAGCCACCAAAGGAGCAAGAATTTAGGCTTTATTCTGATAAGCCACCATCGCACTTATAACACAGAGAGGTTCATCAAATCCCTCAATATTAAATATTCCTTTGCTAAAGTATCCATTCTCTCACATCATTAGAATGCTTCAACACCGAGAGTCTCCATTTACAGATGAAATGACTGTCTGGTGTTCATTCATTTGACAACTTATTTCCTGTTAATGAAACCTCATGGGGGACCATATCAATGTGATACCCTTTCTAGCCCCATCTTCCTAATGATGTGATTTACCCAAGATTCTCTACCCAAGAAGCCCCATCTTCTCATGGTTGAAAACCACGAAGGGTCTCAGAATAAACTAGTTACCTTATAGCAGTGTAAAAGCTAAGTTTTCAGCATGTGCTGTGAGCTTGCACGAAGAAACCAACCATTCGTAACCTTAGTCAACAGTTCCAGACCTCAAGCAGACTTCTGCTTTCTTTCTTAACTTCTGGGCCTGGCACTTCATTTCTCAGCTGAGTGACCGCTGACAGGGTGCATTTCCTCCAGCAAAACCAAGTCTTGGTTTCTCTTTTGACTTTCGGAAGCTTATGATTATGACTGTATTAGTCACTTTGATGTTAAAAGTGGCAAAACGAAGAGATAAGACTCCAGACTTGGTTTCTAGATAAAATCCTGTGGCCCCCCAACTGTATCATTTCTTCACATAGTTGAGATCACTACCATTTTTGTGGAGGGAAAAACGGTTCTCGAGTCAGTGAAATGCCAGTGAAACACTGGGAAGCCCAGTGATGTGCGTGCGGGGTCTTTCACTCCATTGTGTGAACCATTCACACATTGCTTTGACTAGTCTCTTAGGGGGAGCTTTCCTACAGTAAATAGTTTAACTCCTTAAGTAAGGATGGTTACTTTTTTTTTTTTTAAGATTTATTTATTTATTTATTATGTATACAGTGTTCTGTCTGCAAGTATCTCTGCCTGTCAGAAGAGGGCACCAGACCTTATTACAGATGGCTGTGAGCCACCATGTGGTTGCTGGGGATTGAACTCAGGACCTCTTGAAGAGCAATCAGTGCTCTTAACCCCCGAGCCATCTCTCCAGCCCGGTTACTTCTTTTTTTAACTAGAGAAATTAGCTTTATGAACAAACTAGCTTTGATTTCCTCTACAATTCATATTTCTCTTTCAGTTATTTTGTGGGTATGTGTGGTGATGGAGCCAATGACTGTGGGGTAAGTAGTTGTCAGTGTGTGGCCATAATTTCTCAAAAATACTTGGGATGGATATCATTTTCATAGATGTATTAAGCTGACACTAAGGACTTGGGAAGGTTTTGATCAAAGCCACAAAATAGTCAATGGTTGCTATATGTTAAGTAAGGTAGAGCTTGGTTTGGAGTTCCCTCTTCCTTGGGTAGGTGTCCTGGTGATACCTTCTCTAGCACCACCTCCTTCTTAGGTGGCAGACAGGGTAAAGTCTGGCTGGGGATCACAGATTACCTTCTGTAGAGGTGTGCATACATCGGCCATAAAACTGACTCTTTGCTTTCAGGCTTTGAAAATGGCTCATGTTGGCATCTCTCTGTCAGAGCAGGAGGCATCAGTGGCCTCGCCTTTCACTTCCAAAACTGCAAACATCGAATGTGTTCCTTATCTCATCAAGTAAGTAGTCACTTAGCCCAGTCTTGTTCTCGCTTTTGACTTCCGAGTGCAGATAACATTATTCTGGGGAAGTGGAAGAGCTATGTGTTGAGAGGTGCCTTCTGTAAAAATACGTTCTCCTGCCTAGTGGACTTCAAAGGAGTTCTAAATAACACGGGGGAGAGTGTTGAGGTTTCCAGTAACAGTCATTGGTTGGATTGTTTTTCTAAAGGGCTGCCACTGCTTTGAATTGCATTAGCGATTACTAGTTTAGATGCTTTGTCCTAGGAGATCAGGAAAACCCACTTGATTCCCTTCCTTCTTGGCTCCTTGCATTTCCTTGAGGTACCCTCCTCACCTCCAGTTTAAAAAATTTTTTTTATTAGTCTCTGGTGCTCCCACTGAATTTACCTTGGTTCTATGTTTGGCTTGAATGGTAGAAACAGCATTTGTAGCGGATCTTGGGCATCACAGCTAGCAGGTGTTTTTTAATTTAAAATGTACTTGATAGTCTATTATACTTTAAAAAAAAATAGCCTGCAGATGGAGACGTGGCCAGTATTTCTTTTGTAAATAAAGAAGCCAAGAGGAAGAGAACATAACTGATATACCTGTGCTCAGAGACCACCGAGGGCTGGAAATCATGTGTTTTACCAACTATTACACTTTTTCTGCAGTATTAATGTAATAATTTGGCTAGCTTCCTTTGTTTAAGATATTTATCCGTGTATTTGAGTAGGGTTTGTTGAATGGGAACCTTAGTGCTGGGATTTAAGGGAGATCAGCAAAGACAGCTCTTACAGAGATTCCTGTTTGCTATTAAAAAAAAAATGGGTTAATATGAAAGGTCATAATGTGACTGGGGAAGAGGAATTGGCTGCTTTAGACTGTCTTGGGGAAAACCTCCCTTGAAGAGGTGAGAAATGGGAAGAAATGACCTCCTGTGCAGAGCTAATGGCAGCAGCAGGAGGTGGTTTGAGGAGCAGGTCTTGAACTCACAGGGAGTTAGTACACCAATCGTGAGTAAATTGAAGTCTACTGCCACCCCTACATGAAATAGCAAGAAGTGATAAATTCCAGGCTTTGTGCTGGACTGTGGTATTTTTTTTTCAACACCAGCCAGCAACAACAGCACAAAGGAGCATGCTCATTGTGTCCCATCTGTTGACATCGGATGCACAGGTAATTTGAGCGCACACATTATTTTTAGTGCAGTTTTAGGAAAAGTTGGAATTGCTGAGGTGAAATTTGGATCAAAGGTTTACCAAATTCACGAAGCACCTGCTTGAACATGCTCCTAGGCCTTATTTATTTCCCTTAGTTCACAGACGCAGCAAACTGAGACAGGGGGATGGCCTTCTAAATCACAGTAGCATGTGTGTATGAGGTCTGAGACCAGCTCCCAGGTCTCCTGTCTGTGCGTTCAGGCACTGAAACAATTCCATGCATAATGGACGAAAGCAACTGTAAACCAGAGTCCATGGGCAGGTCAAGGCTGTGGACACTGGCCCGGAACCGCTCTTTCCTGAACAGCCAGCCATGTAGCTCCCACTGGATCAAAGCTGTCCAGGGTTGGAGACAAGCTATCATACAACCAGATGTCTGGCTTTTTATCCATTTGTTTTATTGCTGTGTAAGCCTAGATGAAAAAAATGCACAGAATGACATCCAGTTTCTCTCCATCATTTTCCTCACCCACTTTCGTTCTTTTCTTCCACAGGGAAGGCCGCGCGGCTCTCGTGACATCCTTCTGCATGTTTAAGTACATGGCCCTGTACAGCATGATTCAGTATGTTGGTGTTCTGCTGCTCTACTGGGTATGACTTGGGACAGAGCCTTGTTGAGTGAGAGCCGAAGCAAGCAGTTGTTCCCTCGATGAAAAGAGGGTGTGGGTGCCCCGAGGAGCCTCCTAGAAGTGTGTCCCCGAGAGTTCACAACATACACCGGGACTAGACAGACGTGGTGGACAAGCTGTGGCTTTCTGATATAGAAACATGTCATCGGGGGTAACTGAGGGACGGGATGGAGTGGCGTGTTTATTCTCAGTGTTGCTTTCTCCTGTGTGGACCAGGCACATGCTGTTCCACTCCCACTCGCTACCGTGTGGATTCTGGTGCTGGAGGAGTGCTCAATAACCAGTGTTTGAGCTTCCTTCTCTGTTCCTGTGATAAAAAATGGACCAAAAGCCACTTAGGAGAGGGAAGGGTTTGTTTGGCTTATCAGTTACGATCCATCACTGAAGGGAGGAGTGTGGAGCAGAACCCAATGGAGGAACATTGCTTCCTGGCTCAGTGGGCTGGGCCCTCCTCTATCAATGAATAATCAAGAACACATCCCACGGGCAGGTCCGCAGGCTAATCTGACGGAGGTCATTTCTCAGTTGAGGTTTCCTTTTCCAGGTATGTCAGGTGGAAAACCAACGTTTCCCATCCCAGCAGGCTTCCCTAAATACTGGTGCCTTCCAGTTTCAGAGGTGTAAACATACAATAGCAGCACACACTTATGTACCACATAGACACAGGAGCTGTTAATACCCCAGGAGCATAGATAATAGAAAAAAACAAATGGAGGAAAATGAACAGGCAGTATTGAGCTTTGCATACACCCTAACTTCAATTGACTACAATTAATTTGGTGGTATGTTTGCACGATTTTAGTGTTTAACAACCAGAGCTTAACATTCATGAAAACTCAGCAATTGACTTTCAAGGGTAAATAAGCCAGCGTAGCTCTCACTCCTAAATACACAGATCTGAAAATTGGTGAATTATGATATAAAAATACGTGTATTTTGTGGTGGCTCTTATTTTTTTTTTAAACAGGATATAAAAGGAGAAGAGATGTCACTGTTGTTTGGGAATTCAATATGTAATTCTTTCCAGTAATTCGGAGGAAGGGGACCATCCCTGCAGATAGCTCATCCAGGCTCCCTTCCCTTCAAGTCTGTTTTCTCCTAGGTCCAGCTCTTGGTCTCACAGCTTTCAGATAGGTTTTCAGACTCTCTCACGAGGGGGCCGGAGGTTCAGCTGCTTGTAGGAATTTGATCCTATTTTGAAATGCTTTATTATTTATTATTTTGGAATAGTTTATTATCCTCAAAAGTATAATTCAAATGGCATACTATGATCTTCTTTCCACTCATGTGTGAGAGCAGGGGAGCAACATCCTTGAAGAAGGGGCCTTGAACACTCTTTTGCAAGAATAGAAAGACAGTTTATTGAAAGCATGTAACTCTCTCCTAACAACACCCAAGATACACCTTGTGAATTCAGTCACTCTAACTTCCCATTAGTAAAAATTGTGTAAGGCCACCAAACAGCTGGTACACATGACTACTGGAGGGGGATGCATGGTTTATGGTGCCGGACCAAACCCACATTTTTCTGCTAGTCAGCAGAAAAGGGAAGAGATGGATCTAGCAGGTGTTCCCCAAAACACTGGCTAGCCCTGATGCAGGGGACCCCACCTGGGAAGCACACATAGAAGACTCTCCTGGAGTGAGAGGTTTTCACAGAATGGGGGAACGCCCCTCTCCCAACCACCACTGCTCACTAACCCAAACAGGTCTTAAGACCATGCCATGTCCCAAATAAGCTGCTTGAAAAATTAAAGTTGCAGGGAGACACTTAACGCAACTCTTGCTAAATCTTATCCATAAGCGTGTCTTTTTTTTTTTTTTTTTAAATCTGCTTTCCTTTTTGTTTCCAGGAGACAAACAGCCTTTCAAATTACCAGTTTCTATTCCAGGATCTGGCCATCACAACTCTTATTGGTGTAACAAGTAAGAGCTTTACACCTTTCTTCCTGGAGGCTCTTCCCCCGCTTCCTTCCCTCAACCCCGGGAAGATTTGTCTGTCATGAAGGCAGCAGAAGGAGCAGGGATGTATGGCTTAATTTCAGAGACACTGGGTGGGGCCACAAAGTGCTCAATTCTATGAAAAGAAAATGCTAACAAAGGGAAAAACCAAATTTTCACCTTTCCCACAAAATAGAGCGTTTCTGTAAATGGGCACCAATCAATTAGAACGGGAAAGCTCCTAGGAAACAGGAAATGGGTGGAAACTGACTTCAGCTTGCTTTTAGGTGCAGGTGGAGTTGAAATGTGTCCCACTTGTGGAGCTGAATGGCTTTGCTCTTTCTGACCTCCAAATTGAGGCTGCTCAGCATGGAAAGTGGCACTTAAGGGCAATTCTGCCATTGTAGGACTTCTGCTTCCCACCTTTCTAATGAGTATGTGGATTGTCTCCTATGTAGGGAAAATTTCAATTTATGAATGCATTTTCAAGCTATTTTAGGTTTGCAGCAAAGAGGACACAAGTTTGTACCTTTCCCCTGAGTGTACACTGCTGCCCCTCACTTCAACCTCACCCCTGTTGTCAATCTCACCCCTGCCCCAAGAGAGGCACATTAGCTGCAATTGTCCTCCACTCATCGATACATTATGGTTCCCGCCAAGTTCATAGTTACATTGGACTTTACTCTTAGTCTTGAACTCTATGAGTTTGGAATATGTCAGGTGACAGATGTCTGTCATTCCACCATCAGACAGAATGTTTACCCTCAAATGTTTCATGCTCCATTTGTTCTCCCTCCCAATAGCTTCTGACAGCCACTGTAGTCTTTTCACTGTCTCTTCACCTTTCCAGAAACTTCAGCAGTTGGAATTACACAGTCAGTAGGCCTTCAAGCTCAGCCTCTTTCATACAGTAATGCTGTACACTCGACGTTTCCACACACTTTACATAGCTTGACATTCACCTCTGCTGCAGACTGAATGGCATTCTGTGGTCCCTGTGACATAGTTTATTTCTCCATTTACCTACTGAAGGGCATCTTGGTGCTTTCACGTTTTTACAGTTTAAGCATAAAAGTGCTTTGAACGTCTGTGTGCAGGGTTTCATGGGAGCATAACATTTCAATTACACTGTCCACTTTTGTCTTCAAGTTCAACAGCGATACCCTCTTAGGAGGCACCCCAGGCACCAGTGTCTGGGAGGGTGCCCATGCCTAACTCGCTACAAAAGTCCAGAGCTTTCGATAACCCTTTGACATGTGCTGTGGCTCTGCTTCTCTGCCTTTTCTCCCACGATTTTAACGGTTCCCGTGACACTTCACTCTAAAAACGTGTTCAGACATATAAAAGAACATGCTCAGGTGGAGATAACTGCTAACTCCACTTCAGCTGCTACCCCCTGCTTGGTGCTGCGAGGTTCCTCTTGCCTTTCTGCTGTCCACAGTGAGAGCCACTGCGTTTCATGCACCGGACTCTCAATACCACAGTGTTCTTTCCTCAAAAGGTTTCTTTTCACTTTAGTGATACCACACTCAACTGAATTCATCTGCCACTTAAGTGGCACAGTGTAGCTAGAGTTTTCCTGCCTGGCCCACAGTCAGGACAAATCTCTGTCACCCGCCAGTCCCACAGCCGCTCAGACCCAACCAAGTAAACACAGAGACTTATATGGCTTACAAACCGTATGGCCATGGCAGGCTTCTTGCTAACTGTTCTTATAGCTTAAATTAATCCATTTCCATAAATCTATACCTTGCCACGTGGTGCGTGGCTTACCGGCGTCTTCACATGCTGCTTGTCATGGCTACACAGCTTCCATCTCTTTCCTTTTTTTTTTTAAATCTCCTTAAACCCTGTCCTCAGAGCATCTTGTCCACACTTTGTACCCTTACTCTAAAGGGTATCCACTAGTCACATGACTTTAAAGTCATCTGTGTGTGATGAATACCCAGTTTGTAGCTATAGATGAGATGATTATCTGGAGCTTTGGAAGGAAGCATCCAGCTTTGCATATTTAATGGAGCCCACACATAACATGCTCAAGCCAACCTCTTAATTCTGCCAGACCTAATTATGTGAACTGTGTGAACCTACTGAGTAGCATGTTTGTGCTACTTAGTGCTCCAGGCCTTTGGGCAGTCCATGAGATAGCATTGTTATCTTCCTAGTCGTTCAAATGAAAGGCCTGTAGTCATTCTGGCTTTTTTCTTTTTCTTTTTTTACCCTGTATGCCTAATACATATGACATCCCTGTAGTGGATTGAATAGGAATGGACCCCATAGGCTTGTATATTTGAATACTTGGTCATCAGAAAGTGACACTACTTGAGAGGGATTAGGAGGCGTGGCCCTCTTACAGCAAGTGTGTCACTGGGGGTGGGCTTTGGGTTTTCAAAAGCCCCAGCGAGGCCCAGTGTCTTTCTCTTGCTGCTCCTTTTGGACCAGGATGTAGAACTCTTAGCCACCTCTCTAATACCATGTCTGCCTGCATGCTGCCATACTGCCCGCCATGATGATAATGGACTAGCCCTCTGAAATTGTAAGAAAGCCCCAGTTAAATGCTTTTCTTTATAAGAGCTGCTGTGGTCATAGTGTCTTTTCACAGCAGTAAACAGAGACTAAGACAGTCCCAATTAGGTCTGTCTCCAGCCAAGTACATCCCGATTCCCTCCCTACCTCTCTCACCTCTTTTGTTGGGTGGGCTGTACCAGGCATGTGCAAGCCATGTTCGCCTACTCATAGGAGTGTTAAGGATTTGAACCCAGGTCATCTTATTTTAGCAGCAAGTGCTCTTACACACTGAACTAGCTTCCTACTTCCTTAATGATTCTTTTAACATCATTTATCATATTTCCTGTGACATTATTCCTTTTGGCTTCTTTTAATAATTTCTATAGTTTTGTTGACGGTCTCATTTCATTTAACTACTGTTTTCCTTAAATTTTTGTTCATGGTTTCAATTAGTCCTTTTTAAAATAACAATGTTTTCATGTGTTTTTATCTTATATGTATGGGTGTTGCTACATTAACATCTGTGCATAATGTGTATGCAGTGCCTTCAGATGCCAGAAGAGGGCATCTGATCCTCTGGAGCCACCATGTGGTTGCTGGGTATTGAACTTGGGTCCTCTGGAAGACCAACCAGTGTTCTTAACCACTGAGCCATCTCTCCAGCCCCTTCATTTAATTTTAAAGAATATATACAACAGCTATTAGAAAGTATTTACATATAAAATCTAATGTGTGGGATTCTTTGATGTCCTTTAGCTTATTTTGTTCTGAGCATTATTGTGTATATAGTAACTGGGTATAAGATTAAGCTCCTTTTCTAGGTTTGATAGTTTTGTTTTGCTAGTCATCCATTTATTACTGACTTTCCAAAATTGTATTTGCAAAGTCATATCACTGTGATCAGAGGCCACTAACATCTCTGTTTCTTTAGCTCATGTTTTGACAGAGGCATCTTTGAACTCTAGCAGTTAAAAAATAAATGAGCAAACCAGCTTCCTCAGCTTTTGCAGGTTGAATCTTGCTGTCATGTGTACTCAGCACTTGACAGACCCACACCGAGTCTAGAGACCATGCAGGGCTGTGAGCTTTGTGTCTGTAAGCATGAACCGAGCATCAGGCATGTGTCTAGCTTTAGTATCCCAAAGCATACACAGATGCCGCTGAATGCTCCGATTTCTCCAAGGTTCTTCAGCTTTCAGTGGTTATATTAGGCCTATTACATCCCTTATCTTTTGTAGAGACCATCTTGAGATGTTACCTTATAGTATTTTCAAGTGCTGCATGTCAGTTTGTTTTTATTTTTGCCCTGAATGAATTTCATATTAGGAGTCTCATATTAAATGAATTGGAGATGAGAATCTGCAATCATTTCTTCAGGTAGTTGCCAGATACATTACGGCAGATCTGCACATGAACCTGTGGGTAAAGTCTGCTGTACAGCTCCTGTGACTAGGGACCAGAGAGCATCTCAGGAAATGCAGGGTACCGTCTTCAAGACTGATCCCCAGCTGGTGAAGGAGTGGGGCAGGTGCATGTAGACATGTGACAAAACTCTGCTGTAATTTTAGTGAGGCGGCTCTGTGGGTAAGAGCACTCGCTCCCAAGCCCGATAACCTGAGACCCATCCCTGGAACCCACATGGTGGAAGAAGAAAATGATGTTAAAGTTATCTCCTACCTCACACACACACACACACACACACACACACACACACACACACACACACATCAGGGTGTGTGCTTGTGGGCACACAAACAATAAACAAACAAATAATAATAAAATAATGAATGAATGGATGAACATAAAACATTTTTTTTAAAGAGTTGAAAAATCCTTACCATTTTGTTAGGCCTTTTTTTCTTAATTCATTCTCTGCTTTACTGATATAGACTTCTTTGTATTTTCCAGAGCTCTGGCAAAGATTGGTTTGGATGGTTTTGCATATTTTTCAGTGTTCCTCTGGGGAGATGGGAGCTTTCAGTGTGCCTTCTCCATTTTCCTGATGCCATTAAACACTGGGAAGCATTTCTTCACCGTGATTGTGTTACAGACTAAACTTGATATTGATGTCGTGACGAATATTGTTCTGGAATTTTAATTGCTTTGATTAGGATAAATTTCCCAAAGTGGAAATCAAAAATGAAATGTTTTCCCATTTTCATATTTATTTCTTTGTTGGCACTGAAGCTTTGTCTCAATTCACATTCCTACAAAATTCACTAAAGAGTGCATGCTATCATTCTTTCTTATCATTTAATAGTTTTTGCCAACTTAATCGTCCAAACCTCCCCCCCAAAACAAACAAACAAACAAACAAAAAACCAGGCATCTTGTGACTGTCCTGTGTCTGCTCTTTTGAAAACTTCCTCATGACTTGTATTTGGAACCGTTAACTGCTTTGTTCTCCCAGTTTATAATGCTCTTGAAGTTGTCTATTTCTTTAGATATTTGCACCAGAGAAGTTATATCATTCTTTTATTTCAGGTTATTACTTCTCTAACAATTTTGTACCACATTTATGTATTTATTTTCTTATTTATATATGTATGGGTGTTTTGCCTGCATGTATGTCTATGTACCATATGTGTGCCTGGTGCCTGCAGAAGCCAGAAAAGGGCATTGGACCCCCTGGAAGTGGATTTACAGATGATTGTGAGCCACCATGTGGGTGTTGGGAATTGAACCCAGGTCCTTTGGAAGAGCAGCCAGTGCTTGTAATTGCTGAGCCACCTCTCCAACCTCAGTTATTATTATTATTATTTTTATCACATTCACCCCCTCATCAAACTCCTCCCAGTTCACTTTCCTTCCTTCCCACCCAACTTTGTGTCCAAAACAAACAAACAAACAAACAAACAAACAAACAAACAAACAAACAAACCAACAAACCTATCCCAATGATTTTAGCTGCACTAATATTCTTGTATGTGTGGCCTTCCATTGGAGTGTGGATGCCTTAATTGGGGATACATGCTTAAGAAAACTACTCCCAGTTGCCAGTAGCTCCTTAGCCAGGGGCAGGACTTTATGCCCAGCTCCCCTTCCCATGCTGGGATTTGGTCTGGCTTGCACTTGCACAGATCTTGTGCATGCTGTCCCAGCTGCTGTGAGGTCACACGTGCAGCCGCCCTCTGTGTCCAGGAGACACTGTTGCCATCGAGGGCCTCTTACTTACATTCTTTCGGGCCCGTCTTTGCAAAGGTCCCAGAGTTTGGGGAGAACGGGTTGTGATACAGGTGTCCCGTTTAGGACCGAGCGCTCCACAGTCTCATATCCTCTGCTCTGATCAGCTATAGGTCTCTGGGTCAAACACCATCTGCTGCAAGTAGAGGCTTCTCAGGCTGAGGGTTGTCAGGTGCATCGATCCTACCACTCTTACTGCTAAGAATGCATCATTTTCCTGCCCTCGTGCATGTAAACCTTGGATTTCTTTTGTAGTGAATCTGAACGGTGCCAACCCCAAGCTAGTGCCTTTCAGGCCTGCCGGGAGGCTGATCTCCCCACCTCTGCTGCTCTCCGTTATCATCAACATCCTTCTCAGTTTGGCCATGCACATCGTGGGCTTCGTCCTTGTGCGGAAGCAGCCTTGGTACCTCATGGAGTTGCACAGGTATCGGTGTGTCCCCGAATCCAGCTTCTGGAAGTGTGATTTCTGTCAAACCTCATCTGCCCTGCATGAAGGGAACCAACTGGGTCTTCACCTACCCAGAGTTTCAGTTCCTTTAAGGGAACTTTTGGGAAAATTTCCAACAATTGTCTGTGCTTTTATCACACACCATTGACTGTTGTTTAATAGTGAGGGTGGCTGGAGGTCATAACTCTCCTGGTTTGTCCTAGTTTAAGGAGCCCAGCTTAAGCCATGTCTGGTGAAATGATCAAAATCTTTTCCTTTCAAAATTGTCCCTTTCAATGATAAAGTATATGTCACCCTCTGTATGACTTAGGAGTTCTTAAATCTCCTAAGGGAAGAATCACAATTTACTCATCTCCCCCATCCCCTGTATCCTTAATACATACGATGGATGCACAGCTTAATGAGCAAGTAGACAGTTGAATCTACCTATGTATATCTATTTACCTATTCAAACAGACAAGAGTATACATCTCTCTGCCCTTATTTTTCCTTTATTTTTTGTGTCTTTTTTTTTTTTAACCACAATGGAGACAACTATGAAATATGGGACGTTTGCTCCAGACACCATTTGCCACGGCGGCCAGCAGATGCAAATGTGTTCTGAGGACTCCGTGGTTTTTTTGGTTTCCTTTACAGTGCCTGCACAGTGAGAAATGAGAGCATCTCAGCCATCACCACGTCTCCAAATGTTCCTGAGAAAAACAGAAGTCACAGCCCCTTTTCGAGTTTTGAGAATACTACTATATGGTTTTTGGGAACCATCAACTGCATCATCGTGGCCCTCGTATTCTCCAAAGGAAAACCGTTTAGGCAGCCTACCTATACAAACTGTGAGTCACACTGCCTGGCAGCCCTGTGATGATTTGACCACCACTGATCTTTAGAACACGCATGCTCAGGTCACTCAGGAACCAATCGCACAGCTGAATTTCAACTAGAGTCCCCCCACTTCCACTCCAGAGCTCCAAAAGTTCTGGCGCCTCATTACCGGCCCCTCTCTCTCTTCCCATCCAAGAGCGGCTTTCTCTTTTCATCCTATCGCTCCACCGGAAGTTGTCTTGAGTGATTTCTCTTGGGATCGTCTAAGTTGGGAAGATCGATGCAAAGACCAATCTTTACTTGTCAGTGTCTGTCCGGATTCATGCTAGGGACACAAGAAGGGGCACAGCCCTCAGCCGGGATGGCATTGTGTGGTGGCAGACTCGGAGTAGGTCCAGCCTGGAGGAAGCTCATTATACAGCACTGGGGACACCCTTGGCTGGAGGAAATTGGGACAGAGAGGTTGTTCAGGAGAAGTGGGTGCCCTAATTCATTTCTGAGACATGTATTTGTATGTTAGCATTAACCCTCTAATTTAAAAAATTCAGGAGCACAAGTTGAAGGATCAATGTCCTCATACAAAATTGTCCCAGGAAAAGTATTTTATCTTTTTCCTCATTGGGATGAAGAAGCAGTTGAATGCTTATCTTTATACAATCACAATTTAAGATTTCATGTATTTATGGCATTCCTGGTTTTCCAGAAATGGATTTGAAGCAGATGACTTGTCTTAAAGCCACCTACTTGAATGTCTTTAAAGCACTCATTGAAAGGGCATTTTATCATTGCTATTCTCTATATATTTACCACCTGCACTAATTGGAACACAACATACATATAAAAAAGGTCCCCCATCAAGGACATGCATAGAAATTATGGAGGTGAGACCCACTGCATAGACATGAGTGCTTTCATTCATTATGCTGTATTTGGATGCAGAAGTCAAGTAAATGTAATCAGTGTTAACCTAGAATATATCAGTCAATAGACTCGTGCTTCACACTGCAACTTCCCAAAATGATAGCCTGTGTTCTTGTTTCCTCAGATATATTTGTCCTTGTACTGATTATGCAGATGGGCGTATGTCTTTTCATTCTATTTGCGGATATTCCAGAGTTGCATAGGCGTTTGGACGTAAGTATCTTCTCCGGAATTATGGTGTCATGTATTTTTGTCACTGGCTTCTGAAAGCAGGTCACTGTTGGAACTGACATGGACTTCCGACACCGGTTATGTACTTTGGAACTGGCAAAGTTTGAAAGAATGCTAAACTATATCTAATTTTTACTTAAGCTAATCAGGAAATAAAATTCCATCAAGTGTTGATTCTGATAGTAGAGATAGCCTTCGAAAAATATTGAACCATTTTTTTTCATTGAAAACAAAATCCCCTGTAAGACTGGTAAAAATTTTACTTATATATTTTCTCTTTCAAATGCCATTTGAAGAAATTTTGCCTGCAACCATTTAGGTTAATTCTCAAATCTGTACTTACTTTGAAAAATCATGCTTTTCTGTATGTTCATAGTTATATCTGAAAGGGTGCTTTCAAAGAAGCTTGTTCCTGTATCTGAAGCTCTCTCTTACATTTGAAAAAAAAATGTAACCAAGACAACTTTGAAATCCTACAAGATACCATAATCTTACCTACTCAAGCTAGGAAAATCTGGCACTCTGCAATAATAAAGGAGGGAATATTTTGGTCTGGCAAGAGCTTGTGTTGAATCCATGACAGTGGGACTACAAAGGATGCTGAAGAGAGGCACTGTCCAGTTTAAAACCAAGCCTTCTTGTCTCATAAACATGGATCTATTTTAAAATATGTGGAATATTCAGGGAAAAAATGATAACACTATCTGTTATCTTTCCATCTTTTAAAATTCATGTATTGTAAATGGGTTTTGCCTCAAACTTATAAAGTTTATTATGAATTGAAGCATGTTGTTTCACAACCTAGATTTTTTAAAAAATGAGTAATATATTCACATGGTTTAAAATTGTTTTTAAAATGTAAATACTCTAAAATATCCTTTCCAACCTAGCTTCCTTCTGGAGGCAATGCATGGTATCAGTTTTTTTTTACATATATTCACACTTTATTTTCTATATATGCAGAGAAGTACATGTATTTCTTATGTGTATGAATATTCTTCCACATTTTAACACAATGGTAGCAAACTATTCTGTTTGTCAGTATTCTGAGATGTTGATATCAAAGAGGGATGTGTTAATCAAGAAATTCACTGTAGAAGATATCTGTGGGAAAAAAGGGTAGAAGCCAGGGAAGACAAGGAGAGGCATCACACTGACATGAAGACCCCGAGAAGAGTCTTGGTGTGACTGTAATGACTTAAGGATTAAGCTGAGGTTGTTCATCAGGAATGTCTGGCATCTTACAGGAGAGAGTCTCAAGAGAATCCATGCCATCCTCATTTGCTGGCCCTGAGTAGGCCATGGGAAGTACAGTGTTGGAGTGGAAGTTGTGGTAGATTTTGAGTATAGTGTTTGGGTTGCCAATATTTATCTTCCCATCAGCGGGAGATGTGAATGGAACATTTTCATAGCTGTGTGTATTTATCTTCCCATCAGCAGGAGAGCCGAATGGAATATTTTCATGGCTGCTATAACCACATACACAGTCCTGTATCTTATTTCTTTCATGTAACAGTGCATTTTGGTAATTATGTCATGCTAGCACATAAATCTCCATTGTTTTAAGTGATAACATAATATTTTATTACATATACATATGCATATTTCATGATATAGATTGTATATGTATTGTAATTTTATGTGCAGTCCTATTTTAATTAATATGTAACTGTTTCTAAGTTGTTACCCTTACAAAGACGCAGTAAAAGAACCATGTACATATCTTTTTTAGTCATGTACAAGTATATGTCAGGAGTAAATTCCTAGAAGTGGATTTAAAATAATAATCTTGAGAACATTGTTCTCCATAGGATTGCATCAGCTTTTACTCCCATCAGCATATGAGGCATTGTATAAGACATGTAATACATAGCAGAGTGTACTTTGCTTATCCATCCATCCAACCACCCATCCATCCATCCATCCATCCATCCATCCATCCATCCATCCATCCTTTCTTCCATCCTTCCTTCCTTCCATCCATCTACCTACCCATCCATCCACCCACCCATCCACCCATCCACCCACCCATCCAACCATCCATCCACTCATCCATCCATCCATCCATCCATCCATCCATCCATCCATCCATCCATCCAACCTTCCTTCCTTCCTTCCTTCCTTCCTTCCTTCCTTCCTTCCTTCC